GTCTTGTTTAGGAAACTGCATGTACCCACTGAGATCCTGCTGCACACAGAAGTCTCTTATCTCATGTTCTTGCATGTTCCTTGATACCAGCATCTGCCCAGATTTCTAAAGTTTAATTTCAACACAGAGGAATTGTCATTTTGTCTTCCATAATTTACTATGCTGAACTAAAGACCTGTTCTTCTACCTCCTCTGGCTCCGCTGTTCCAACAACCTATAATCACCAATACCTTGGGAAGATATTATTTGCATTTAAAATACTTTTTAGGTGCTTCTCCAACTTTTTATTTTACTTAGACTTTATAGGCCAGATGATCCCAATCCCATAAAGTACTTCTTATCAAGGAGTCTTGCAGAAAGTGCCATATTTTAACATCAGTGCCTGCCCTGTTCCTCACCACTTTGATGCCATCTGGAAGACATAGATGGGATTCACTTCTTCCAGAATTTTGGAGGAATGAGTCTACTCAAAACAGGGTTAGTTTCCTCCAAGAAGCAGCTGTGTATTGATGGCATCCATGCTCTGTAGCCAAGGAAAGCCTTACATTCCAAACACCAAGAAAGTACATTCCAACCTCCCCTTTTTCAGAACAGAATCTGTCTGTTGCCCCTGTTCTGTTGGATGCTGCATATATATATTATTTTGCCATGAGTATTATTATGTCTGCCTACAGTAGTATCTCTAGACCAGAAACAAAACTCTCTCCTTTATTTGGTTATGGAAAGAAATATGGTGGGAAGTGATATCTATCTAACTGGCAGAGGAGACAGAACTGTTTGCTTTCAAATGGAGATCACAATAGTCAATTTGATCCTTAAGTAAAATAATGGCCCAGAGAGCCTACGTGGAAAACCCAGAAGAAACGCCAGAATTAAACTACTGTTTATAATCCATTTGAATTTGTTTCCAAATGATATACAAACAGTTATGTATCACAATCAGAAGTGAAGCAGAAGAGAATTAAAATAGACTAGCAAGTTCTATAAGTCTGGAGTGAAAACAACATGTTTATGTTCTGGGACGTTCTCCATTTTGCTTTATTATTATTATAGCTTCTTACACTTCTACTACACAAACATGTCACGGCCACTTGGTTTAGGAGTAGAGTACTGAAAAGGTATAGATGCTAACCTATGAACCCCTCAACGGCTTGGAGCCCAGCCCACCTGAGAAGCTGTCTCTCTCCCCTGTGATTCTGATACAGCTGTAGTTAGAGGAAACCTCAATACTAAAAGGACATGGATAAATCTTAACAAGGTCAGGACCAGACTTAGTTAATGGCAGGGCACTTTCTAAGAAAGATTTCAACTTTAAAATTCTCTCCCAACTGCTTGATTTGCTAGTGATCAAATTATTTAATGATTTAAATCAAATTGTTTCATCTTTAGGACAAGCTGGAAACCCTCCTGAATGTGAAGAAGACAGACAAATTGGAGATATAACTGCAAAGTTTAACTTAGACTGGCATTGTCTTACTTACGTGAGGCTTGCAGTAGGCTTATTCCATTCTGTATAATCTAAGCCTTGTTTAAAGGCTCCGCGGCTGTAAAATATCTTGGGATAAAGCAGAGTTGAAAAGCTGTTCTCTGTAAAGTTTTACCAGGGTCCCAGGCTGCAAGTGGTAACCTCTAACTGAAGGTCCAAAAGAACAGGGTCAAGGTGGTTGGGGAAAAAGCCTGAATAGTTCACAGTCCTGGCAGGGTGGTGACAGAGAAAAGAAATGGTGCTCTCCATGTTATAGGCGTGTAGGTTGTAGCCATGTTGGTCTCAGGACATAGGTAGACAAGGTTCTTTGGGTGAATCTGATTTATTTTATTAGACCAAGTTAAATAGTTGGAAAAAAAAATTAGCAAGCGTTTGGGTTTAAAAACCCTTTGTCAGGCTGAGGAAGTCTCTGCAGTTGGTGTGCGCTCTACCAACTGCACACTACCAACCAACTACCAACTCTACCAACAGCACACACCAACTGCAGAGACTTCCTCAGCCTGATGAAAGGTTTTTAAACCCGAAAACTTGCTAAAAATTTTTTTCCAACTATTTAAGTTGGTCTAATAAAAGTTATCAGATTCACCCAAAGAAGGTTGTCTGCCCTGATCCCCATGTTGGCATTTCTGCCTCTTCTGGTTACTGTTCAACTGCCAGTGTTCATAGATTTCATAGACATTAGGACTGGAAGGGACCTCGGAAGATCATCGAGTCCAGCTCCCCACCCAAAGGGCAGGAAGTCAGCTGGCGTCATAGGATCCCAGCAAGATAGGCATCTAATTTTCTCTTGAAGGTGTTCAATGTAGGTGTTTGAACCACCTCCAATGGCAGGCTGTTCCAGACCTTGGGGGCTCGGACAGTAAAGAAATTCTTCCTTATGTCCAGCCTGAAACGGTCTCGCAGTAGTTTATGACTGTTCAACCTCGTCATCCCTTGGGGTGCTCTGGCGAACAAACGTTCCCCCAGATCCTGGTGGTCACCCCTGATAAACTTATAGGTGGCCATCAGATCACCCCTGAGCCTGCGCTTTTCCAGGCTAAAGAGCCCCATGGCTCTCAGCCTGTCATCGTAAGGTCTGTTTTCCTGTTGACAGCATGAGAAGCAGGATTTGTTTGTAATGCCTTTTATTGAACCAACATTATTGTTGGGAGAGCTGTTAGACAACTTAGGCACAAAATACCTTTCCTCAGGTCTGGTAAAGAAGCAAGGAGATTTCTAGCCACAGAGAAAAGAGAGAGGAAGGTCAACCCAAATTTAAGCAACATGCTGGAGAATGGCAAGTCATTAAAAATTATACTGAAGGCCTATGGTCTGATACAAAAGAAACATCTACCAGCAGATGCTCTGATGATGATAGTCTTCCTGCCCCTCTACCCCACAAAGTGAAACATTATCAAATACGTAGGTAGATATATCTCCTCTGATGCACTGTGTCTGCTCTCTGCATTTGAAAATGAAGTTCCCATAGAGATGGATGTGTGCTTTGTGACATGGACATGCAGTGACAGAGACACAGTGGTGTTACCATGTCATTCTGTGACTTGAGGATTCCTTCCAGAGCAAGGGAACCTTGGACCATGGCGGACAAAGGTCTTTCCCTGTTGCATGCTGCCCTAGCATGGTCTGCCAGTCCTTCCATTCCAGACAGTAAGGACAGGAGCACACTGTAGCCTTCAGCCAGCAAAACAAGTATTTCCAGTGGGAGAGGTCAGAGCTGATTTCACATTTGCTTAGTGTCATAAATAAAGCAATGGCTTTTCTATTCTAGTCATGGAGTGATGCTGAGTTACTGAGAAGATCAGTCCAGGGTGTGGGAACATACCAATCTCAGGATTACGCTTTAACTCACCCTGCCACCTTTCCAAGTTCTCCTGCTCACAATGAATGACTTAAAGACATAGGTGCAATGTGCAAATAACACACTTTAAAATAGCCCAGGGGGAATCTACTTGACAGCAAAACACAGTTTTTTCACCCTCTTTTTAAAAAGTGACACCCAGTAAAACAGAATTGACTAATATCAGATTGGCATTTACTGCAGATGGTTATGAACCAAAATATCCCAGATCTTAAAATGCCACCTCCCCCTGGAACACTGAGGAGGTTTGGATCCAAAGGAGAGCACTGCTGCTTGCGGCCCAGCTGGGACTCGAAAAGGAAACTCTTAAGGTTTTTAAGTGGGACATGTCAGGTTTTGTTTACAGATAGTTCATTTGTTTGCACAGGGTCAGGATGGAAATTACTGAATTACAGAGAAGCAGAACAGCCATATACATTTAAAACAATCCAGACACGCAGTTGTGGACCAGCATCTCTCACTCCTGTACGAATGTCAGAAGTGCATCTACAGAAGATCTCACTAGCACAGAGGACATCAGAAAGAGAATTTAAATGGAAAGTGAAACTGTCCCAAGGTAATTTCACTGTCTCAGCAGATGAAAAGCTACAAGAGGAAAAAACAAAAGGAAGGTAGAAAGGCAATTAAACTTTAAACATTTATTCACTTTTAATGGTATTGAGTATTTTTAGAAATAATTAAAAAAATAATCAAGGAGTTTTATAAGAGAGCATTTCTATTGCTCTTTTAACTGGAGAAGCAGATAGGATCTGTGCAGTATGGTAGAAGTTAAGTCCATCCATTTCTAGAGTTGGGATAGGCTCAAGCAAGTTTAAATTCTCTGAGGTTCAATCCCACCAGTCTTTCAGACTCCAAGAGGCTAAAGGGCCAGCTAAGCTGGTGGCACAGAACTGGCCTGACTTTCTAGGGCTTCAGCATTAAGAGGCCGAAATGCAATATGAATTAGACCCAGAGAGCTGAGCAAAGGGTGGAGACAGAAGTCAGGGGAAGATAATAATTCCATGGATGTTGCCAGGTTCACCCTTTCTACACCACCTTGATGCTGATTTGAATCACTCTTGAGGAGGGTGTTGGTACATGTAATAGGGAACTTGACTGGATCACACAGAAAGTTAATTCTCTGAAGTGAGCATCTCTATACTGTAGTCCGGTTTAGATATTCCCATGACAGCTCTGAATTAGTGACTGCGAGATCTGTTTCAGTGGAGCTGACTAACAACTCAGTATCGGTACTGTGTTGACCCAGTTTCACAGAAGGGAGTTGCATCCTTGGCTGCTGTGACCACACAGCAGCCAGGTAGCTAGCTAGTCTGGACAGGTCAATAAAAGTTGCAGTGATTGCAGTGACTGTAGTGAAAACACAACCTTTGTTGCACTGACATCAAAACCAGAGATTTAGAAAGCACTTGCATACCTACAACCTTGCCACAAGAGCCCCCTGCTGGACATGTGTCAAAATTGCAACAAACAACAAATCTTCAGTGAAAATGTCCTCATTGCCCCATAAATCTATCCAGACTTTTCTTCAAATGATGTAGCAGAGATCCTGTTATGGGAAGCTAACAAGTTTTGTGCACTGCATGGCCCATTTGCATTTTGAGGTTCCTGAGCATCTGGGTGCATGTGCACATCTCTGCCATCAGAGGATGTTCTTACCATTGAGAAGCCACGTGATCTGAGGCATGGGGATCCCTTCCACAGAGCACTGCAGCACGAAATCCTGTCCTTCGCTCACTGTGCATCCTTTCAAGATGCTGGAAAAACACGGGGTGACCTCTTCAACTTTAGGCCCTTTGAATCAAAGTGGAAAAAGGATCCTTTAACATAAAATCATAGAAAATTAGGGCTGGGAGGGACCTCAGAAGGTCATCTAGTCCAACCCCCTGCTCAAAGCAGGACCATCCCCAAACTAGATCATCCCTGCCAAGGTTTTGTTTAGCCAGGTCTTAAACCTCCAAAGATGGATATTCCACAACTTCTCTTGGTGCTTTTTCATTTACACATTATTAGAACATTTTTCCTAATATCTAACCTAAACTTCCCTTGCTGCAGCTTGAGCCCATTGCTCCTTGTTCTGTCATCTGCCATCACTGTGAACAGTCCAGATCCATCCTCTTTTGAACCTCCCTTCAGGCAGTTGAAGGCTGCTATTAAATCTCCCCTCAGTCTTTACTTCTCCTGACTAAATAATCCCAGTTCCCTCAACCTCCACTGACAAATCATATGCCCACACCCTTTAACCATTTTTGTTGCCCTCCGCTGGATTCTCTCCAATCTGTCCACACCCCTTCTGTCATGGCGGGCCCAAACTGGACACAGGACTCCAGATGTGGCCTCATCAGTGCTAAATAGAGGGGAAGAATCACTACCCTCAATCTGCTGGCAACACTGCTGCTAAAATGACCCAGTATGCCATTAACTTTCTGTGCAACAAGGGCACGCTGTTAGCTCATATTCAGCTTATTGTTCACTGTAGCCCACCGGTCCTTTCCTGGAGAGGCTGGTAAACTCACTCCTGTTTTGTTACTTGCACTAGGTAGGTTAAGATGAAATGGCAGCATGAGAAATCATCCCTACAACAGTGTATGGACTTAGAGCCATACAGAAAGAACTGGTCTGGAAGGAAAACTCATGTGGGGCCTATGGACCAATGGGAGCGCCCTCAGATTGTCACAGGTTTTGCAGGCTTTTCTTGTTTGGCACCACTCTGGTTTTACAAATGAAATCCTGCAACATGCCACTACGAAGGACTGAAATCTATCATCAGTGTTCCAAAGCAGAGCAAAGAATGGGAGGAAATATGCTTTTTTCCCCATGATTGTCTCTGTTCAGCAATGCAATGGGAAGAATAAAATACTTTGCCCACAGGACTCTGAAAAGACAGAAAGTGTGTTGCAAGGGGGTACCTTGATCATCCAGGACAAAGCACACCTGGTGCTGCTACAGAAATGTTGCACAAACATGATTTGAAGTTCACAACCAAACCTAAAACCAGGAGATGCTTAATGGGTTGGGAACAAATCCATTAATCAGGCCAGGGTTGGCTAAGAAGTTTGTGAATCTTCCAAGCAAACCTGCTATTGAATGGTTTCAACCTCAAAGTCAGGTCTGCCTTGGGAGAGGTATCTATGTTTGGATACAACACTGTCTGATTTTTCTTCCTTCCCCTTTCCTTGACCTTACTCTGCCACCCAGGGCACCAGAAGGATCAGTGAGCATCTGTTGAACTTTTCAGGAATACTAAGTTCTCAGTGGGTGCATCAACATGTGCTATTAGCGTGGAACAATAAACTCCGGTGCATATCATGCCAGACTTTATTGCCTTTGGGCACCACGTTTATACATGTGCCTGTGACCACGGCACATTGAGCCTGGTCAGAGCAGTTTCACCTGCCAGGGGCCCTTGGGGGTCAGCCTGCCAGCCTGCAGTTGCTCCCCCTGGCTCAATGTGCTGCAGAGGGGCTGGCTGGGGCATGAGGGTGTTTCAGTGCGAGGCTGGCCAGCAGGCAGGCCCCTCACTGAAACACTCTTGTGCTTCAGCCAGTTTCATCAGTGTCTTCATGTGCGTTGCTGTGCGCTGAAGAACTCCACCATAGGATAGTACTTGTATTTACAACTGCTAACCTGCAGCAGAGCTAATTGGTTTCCTGTGGCCTAATAGGGCCGCATGTATAAATGTTGAGACTTCACTGCAAAGCTTATTAGGCAGCTCTGCAGTAAACGTCTTGTGTTGATGCACCCTGTAAGTGCTAAGAAACTTTTCATTGGGCAGCAACTCTCCTATGCCTCCCATTTTTCTCATTCACACTACATGCATTTATTAAGGAAGATGTAGGATGATTGGGAGCCCAGTGTGTCAGGCGTCATACAGATGCTTCAAAACATACTCCTGTCAAGTCAGATACAGAAGGCAAAGGGTCAGAGGGGAAACAGAGGCATGGAGAGGTGAAGTGTCCAAAATCACACAATAGAAACAGATCTGGAAGTTAAAATTTCCACATATGAATTAGCTTTAAGGAGAATTTTGCACCCAAAATCCCTGGACAGCTGTGAAAAGTCTACCTCCAGTTTTAAAGTGCAGATTGGCTCACCCTGATTTACGTACTTTTTACGCTCAGAGCCCAGCTGGTTGAAGTCCGGCCCTGGGGGTTGAAAGCTGCACAACTATAGGACCCACTATCTCCCAAGCTGGCTTTCATCAAGCATAAGCAATGAATTCCATCCTCTTCATAGATCTGGACACTGTCTCTTGCTTTCAGTGGGGCTCCTGCTTTGAACCATTCCACATCTGGTTTTGGTTTCCCTGAAACTAGAGAATTTGGATTTTTTATTAAAGGAATGTTCCCCCATTACAATAAGCCTTTACTACTTTCTATTATTATTGGTTTCGGCCTACTATATTACTTCTAACATCACAATATACATTTCAAAATATTTCAAGATACATAGTTACCTTTAATTTCCCCCCACCTACCATAGTCCTTAAGGAGATGTTGACAGCTTAAAAATACATGTGCTTCTCTCTGAAAATTCTTCTCTTAGCATTGATACAAGTCACACCTAATACCACTATAAGCAAGAGAGATTAGAGGGGGAAAGGGAAGAAGTGTTCTGCTGTTCCCCCTCCTTATTCACCAAGCTGGTCTCTCTTGTGCACTTGGCAGGACTTTGAATTATCCGTTTCTAATACAGAATGCTCCAGTAACTGCTCAGTTTCTGCTTTCATGCCCAGTCTTTCAGAGCAACAGCAGCAGCAGAAGGAAAATTAGATAAAAAGAAGTAATTGTCTTCAGCAGCGTTTCCTCTAAACTGTGTGGCCGCGCACACCGTGCTCATGCTGCACTGCCAGGCGCACGTGCATGACCACGCACACCACACAGCTTAGAGGGAACAGTGGTCTTCAGGGGAGCTATTCCCATGAGTAAAGATGCATTTGTAAGACTGGATACACAATATACCTCAGCACAGGAGCCTGGAGGATAGCAGGCTCCACGGAGATTCCCAGACGCTCTTCTGTCCTGGATGCAACTTTTTGGTACTACTTTGGTGTTTGAGGGGTGGGAACAAGGAGTGAGAGTGCAGCAGCAGCCACCAAGAGACAAAATAAAATGGCAGAGGAGGTGAATCTATCATAGCTCAGAACTGGAAAGTGCAGGGAGTGATGGAGGCAGAAGAAGTATCAAGGAGAAGGAGAAACAAGAAGTGGTCTGCTTAGAGTTAGCCAGGAGCAGGTCACTGTCAAGGTAAGATGGATACCTGTGAGAGCTTTCAGAACACAAAAACAGAAGAATCCCCTCTATTTCCCATAACTTGTATCTTTTAAAATCCTGCTGCAGCAAGAGAACCCTAAACTCCGGGTGCTTTCAACTTTTGTGCCTCTACCTTTGCTTTTGAACTTGACCTCCTGGCCTTCTAGTGCCTCCTGGCTTTGTGGACAGATCTCAAACCGTGGCAGGATCCCCTGAGGCTCCTGTCTATCCTCCGTTATGCTCTTCTGGGTCCCCACTCTGTGTTCTGCATACCGACTTCTTGGGTTGGCTTGGCCAGCGAGAGGAACAGATTGTCGAGTTGTCATATGAGGTTGTGTGGCTCTTTTTCTTTCTTCAGTCTGTCCAGTGACAGTGGACCTGGTCTCTACTTTTGGTTCTGGTTGCATTTTAATGGCTTGCAGGGTTATGGTACTTGAAGTTTTCTGTAGGACCTGAGAGCCCCTTATTTCTTCTTTGGGTTCCTGAGGAGGCTGCATGCTGGCTTCTCTAAGCTGCCCTTGTCTATAGTCCTTGGCGTCTTTGGAGAAGGTATAGCAGGCCTCTTTCTTCATTGTGGTCTTCTCTTTGGTTTCAACTGTGAGCTCAGTGCTACTGGATTTCAGTTCTTTTGCAAACCCATTGCTGGTCGTCCGTGTGAAATCTGAATTTTCAACACCTTTAGCTGTAAGGGTTGTTGATTTTGATGGGGGGCTAAAGGAAAATGATATATTTAGATGCATAAGCAATGGTAATATCCATAATTAGGATATAGACAAATGAACAAAGTATACCAATAAGGGAAGCAACCTACTGTGGAGCAGCTGACTTTCAGTGACTGTTTCATGTGTTTGCTCCTATCCCATGGTAATTGGAAGTCTGAACTACAGTGTCTTAGCCTTGTTCCATTCAAAGTCAAGCTGTACCAATGTAGCTATTATTTATCAAGGACAGAAGCAGACATGTGGAATGCTTACCATGAAGCAGATGATACACAGTAAATGCCTCCTCCCTTTAACTGAGTATAATCTATGTCTGTCCATATCCCTTGCAGAGCACTTTGATCTTCAAAGCACTGTGCGAATATTCATAGTACTTAGGGTCAGAATGGACCTAAACACTTAACCACTTTCACCAGGGGAAAATGAGTGTTTGTGTAAAAATCACTCTTCCTCTCCTACAGATTAAGAAACTGAAGCAGAGTGGGTCAAGTGATTTACCCCAAAGACTGAGACAGCAGAACATTAGCTATAATACAAGAGTTTCTGGACCCCAGTCCTCAGCTCTTTTACCCAAGTCAAATTCTGACCTTCTATATATTGGTTTTCCTTTAAGATTGACTTCATTTGAGCCTCTAAAGTGACAGTACTGTGTGCTTTTAAGGTGGCAAGTGTGAATAGATTCAGGCCATATATCAACTCAAGACATGGCACAAACGAGCTTTCAATATTACTATTCTTCAGCAGACGGTAACATTGTTAAAAGGGCAGGCCTATATCCAGGTGATGGCATGGCCTAGCCAGGACAGCTCTCGCTCTACCTCACCAACCTGCTGCAAACCCAGAAATACATCCGTGAAAAAGGTCCAGAGTGTCCCTAGTGGTTATACTAGAGACCAAAGCCTTAAAAGTGGCTACTGGAAGCAACCCCAGAGCATCTTTATCAGTTTGTTTCTGGGGTTGGAGTGCACTAGTGGGAATAGGTGAGCAGGGGTATTGGGATCATCCTAGCTGGTACACTGTACCCACATGGCATATGTATAATTAAGTAACTTGAAAGTACGGCTGGGCAGGACATTGTGGCAAAACAATGTTTCATTAGATGCCAGTTCTTCAGAACTGAATTTTTGCAGGAACTTGTCATGTTCGGGCAAAAGTTTCAACCAAACACAACTTTCAGATCCAGAATAGAATTTCTGGTCCAAACCAGACAGTGCAAGAGGGACGCTCACCCCTAGAATGTGGATGTGGGATATCATGGTCAAGGCCATGTTCAGCCTGAGTGAAATAAAGAACTTGAATTGGTGTTTTTGCATGTCACAGGTGACTTCCCCACCCACCTGGCTCCTGGCTATACTGGAGTGAATCTCAGGATGAGAAATCTCTTTTCATGTCTACACATGCAAATTATGTAACTTCCCTTTTGCATTCCACCTTGAAGGCAACAAACACAGATATAAAGTGATTCTCCTTTGCTGCATCAGACCAGTGATCATCTAACCAAGAAGACCCTCACCAACAGAAAACAAACACTTCATAACAGGTTACAAAAATCCTAAAATTACAGGGTAATCTCTCATTCCCTTCTAGCCCCTAATTAGAGGCTAGTGTTAGCTCTGAAGCAAGAAGATTTATCTTCTCTTTCATGGGGAACTCCTTGCTACAGTCTCAGGGCCACAGTGTCTTTCACTAATAAAGAGTAGTGAATGACAGACACATACCGTGATGAGTGAACATGCACCTCTGTCTTGTCTGAACCTGAAATAAAAAAAAAAAGATTTAACTCCTCAGACCATTACATTGCCTTATAAGAATTTTCTATTATTTCATTAGATATTTCATTATAAGGATTTAGGTAAAGTATGCATTTTGGAGAGCCTCCTTTATTTTTTTGTACTGGAGTCCACATTAAAGATTTCCACCAATGGAAAACTGCTATAGACCTAAAACGTGTCCAGTTACTGCTGAGCCACTAGCCCACAATATGCTCCTTGACCAACCTTGACTTTCAGCCACAAGAGCACTGGTTGCTCAATTGAAATGGCTGGAAATCTTGGCTTAGTTTGAGAAGTTCCTGGATCAAGCAGCCCACAGGAACAAAAGGATTCCCATCCAATAGACGCACTCTGTGCTGGACAGGACAGATATGGAAGGTATGCCAGCTGGAAGCAGCTCACCGATTGTTCAGGAAACTTCAGAGAGGGTGTGTAGCTGGGTGGGCCACATCCCCTACTCCACCATGGTTACTCCATAATTGTTTATTCCACCATGTTTTCACCAGGCTGTCAGTGACACTAGGCATGTCTACACATGCAATTAATTATATCTGGCTAATTTACTGTGCAATAAGTCTCTGCAAGTGTAGACAGTGATGCTGTATTGCACAGTAGATTAGTCTACTGTGCAGTAAAGCATCTTGTGGAGATGCACCCACTGGTGCTTTGTGTCCAGTTTCATAGATTCATAGATTAAGGGTCGGAAGGGACCTAGTAGATCTTCTAGCCCGACCCCCCGCCAGGGCGGGAGAACAACAAAAAACCCCAAAAAGAGAAACGGGACTCAAACGAGTCCAGCCAGGTAGGCATCCAGCCTCTTCTTAAAGACCCCCAGGGTAGGG